TTAAACTTCTTTAAGAAAAATATTATCAATTGGTCATTTAAGAAAGATGCAAATGAAACTAGTAAAATGTTCTCATTTCAATTTTCTAACATACAGTAATTAACTGCTTAACTGTTATCCTAGAATCAAATGATGACTGGATTAAGGCTGCAATTTTGCACGCTTATCTGGGAGAAACTTCTGTAGCAACCAATCTAAAGTGCAAATTATACTATCTACCTAGGAATTATCCCCATTAAAGTCATCAGAATTTACTTCCAAATAAATACAAGAAAACTGCAAAAAGTTTATTTAATTGTATTTAATCACTATATTTTAAAATATTAAAAAGTTAATCATACTTTTAATCATTAACAATAACAGGTAAAACTTGACTGAAAACTATTTAACAATCTGAGTAGATCTCTGGTCTATTCAGGGATTTATTGTACAAGAAAATGATTTTTGATGGTAGCTTAGCAGTGTGGCTGAGAAAATTTTCTATATTAATAATTGCAACTGTGATGACTCAATTAGGACAAAAGATCAACAGAAACAATAACAAAATGTAAGCACATTTAATTGTTTTTATTGTCATTAAATTATGTTGGGCTTTCCTTCAATTGTTGTTCACAACTATTTTCTGGCATTCCAACCTAATCCTAACATAGTTCCATGAAAGTATGAAAAGTTTCAGCACATAAGATAACACACTTAAAGTACATCTACTAAAATCAGTGAAAGTTAATCATTGGTAACTCAAATAATATTTAATTTCTAATTATGATTCAATTCATTAGGTTAGCTCAGACTTTTCACCAATCAAGATCTAATTACTGAATTGAGTTGAACTGGTTTGCTCCTTCACAACATATATTGTTTAAAACAAGTTCTGATCATAGATGATCAATAAAACTGATCACACAACCTGTGGACTTGGAAAATAATCTGATTTGTGATGAGCTTAAGATGTTTGCAAAACAATCTTTTTTCCTTACAAGCAATAAAAATGTATCAAAATAAAACTTACACATGAATAGTTGTTTATATAACTGCTATGATATATGGTTAAAGAAAATATTTGTCAATATTTTTCCATTTTTAAAATTCATGTTTTGGAGAACAGTGATTTTTGTTTCTAAAGTTAAATCACATTTAAGTCATCATATTGAGGAAGCAAATATACTTTTATATTGTAAAAAACAAGGGATATGGTCATATTGTCATATCTACTAGATTTACTATTTAAAACAAAAGAGTTAAAAGGAAAAAGAACCAAACATTTTATAAATGGTTTCTAGGAATATTCTCTATAAATGTTCTATATCTGAATACTGAAATACAAAAAAGGGAATGCCTTGAATGAAGGTGAAATGAATAAATTACAATATTACACAAATATACATTCAATGTTTTCATCTTTTTTATCTTTTGAAGTGATAGTACATGGCTGAAGAAGCATTTCCTAATAGAAAATTAATCAGCTTTATGACTTGGACATGTTGGATTTCCTGCTTTTTAACATAGTCACTGTACATTTTAAGTTACTTTTATTTAAGACCATTATTGACATAATAAACATTATGATTTAAAGCTAGCAATTCATTCACTTTAATTTTATAGATATATTATTGAATACAGTTCTTCTTTCATTGGGTAATCTTAAGTAAATATAAATAGATATAATGCATATCTCATCTCCGTACCTAAACCCTGAAAGTATATGTTACTATTAGTGTCATTTTATTCTATAAAAATACAGAATGCTGTATTATTAAGTTGCATGTCATAGATTAACTGAATGACAAATATCACATTTTATGAGAAATCGCTTTCTTACAACTTTCAAAATAAAATTTTTACAAAATTGCTAAGTCTTCCAATGCCTTTGCTATAAACTAAGAAATGTGGTTACAAATTGATCCATTAATGTTGCTTTGTTGACAAAATTGCTATTAAGCAGGCACAGAATTTAACTATAAACATCACTATTCTATTTAGCTATGCCATTGCTAAATCACACTTGTAATGACAGTGTAAAGCTTTAAAACTCTTTTTATTCTTGATCTATTCATTTAAAGATATTCTTTTAGTCTTCCTTACACTACTGAAACTTCTTAAGTATAATTTATGCACTAAGTAAGATATCAGTTATGAAGTATGGATCGCTTTCTTAGCCAAGGAAAACATTTTAATATTGCTCTCTAGTACGTTTGGTAATTTGATCAATACATTGTTTTACACATAAAGGAGAAATTAAAAAATCGTGCAGAATTTTCAAGTAAAACAGGGAAAAACATCTTGGGAGAAATCAAGGACATTTTCTTTGGGTATGAATAATATGAACTTTGACCCTTTGCAAATATAAGGTGTAACCAGAATAGGAAATTCTCTAAACCATGAGAGCAGCTTGTTTATCACACCTCTTTATATGATATGCTTATGTTTTGGTCAAATTCATTTGTACAATGAGAATATATAAGCCAGCATTTCTGCCCCACCCATACTATCCACTGAACTATGAACACAGAGAGAGCATGATAGAGAAAAACAAAAATACACAACATCTGGTATATTAGCTTGTCTAAAGATTCCCTAAATTATAGCTCTTTGCCGTGGAAGATCATCTTGGTGATTGCACAGGTGAAAAGAAATACAAAATAATAAATTGAAGGTGAGGTGGAAACCACGTAGTGTTGTATTGTTCACAGAAAGGGAAGAAATGGAATAAAATGAATATAAACTGAAGAGGAAGAGGCAAGTGTTAGGGGGGTATCCCAAAACCTGGTAGTGTATCCCAGAATGCAAAGGAAGACAATCACTAAAAGTCAACATAATCAGAGTGAGACAGCCATAACATGCAAAGACCGGTTGTTATGGAATTGGAATTTCCCTATATTTACTCATTAAGGGTTCTCCACTTCAATTTATCTGAATACTTAAAGTTACAGTGCCATCAAATGTCTAACACATCCTATCTTGCTCATTTATTAATTTTTGAAAATCAGTCAAAATGCACTGAATGCTACATTTATTATCCCATCTCAAATTGTCACATTTTTTCATGTGCATCTTTTGGACACTTTAGTTTATCATAGATTGGGCAGTTTGTTCTCTGGTCAGGCTTATTTTCCTATAAAAACTTTGTTTCCTTCTCTTCATGTAAATTGTTAGTATTGGAAAAAATATAAATTATCTTTTACATTAGAAAAATTGCCTTCAAATAGATTTTGTTAAATTTATTAATATTAAGACAATCTTCTGGGGGAAATGAAAGCAATGAGTAAATCAAACATAACTGGTTTTGGAGATTTACTTTTAAATCATATGTTTTTTCCATTACTGATTTTGTCTTACAGTACACATACTATTTTTCTCCTTGTTATCTCTCCAGGGCTTCAAGATTTCTTAACCATTTTCACACAATTGTATTGGAAACAAGTTGGAATACTGTTCATAGATCTTAAAGAGCAACATTTTCTGTTGTACTTTAAAGCCTTCTGAGAGTTTACCCAGCTCAACTAAAACATTTGGAAAAATGCTTTTTAAGCATTTTGTTCTGCATGAAAATGAAGTGGCATAAAGGATCCCAATTTGCACAGTGCCACATACCTGTTCTCGGCATTAATTATTCTAAATAATTACTAGACCCATCTCAAGCATTAGTAGCATGGTTGAGCCCATCAGAAGGCTGGGGCACAAGGCCAGACTTTTTTTTTATAATTCTCTTAACTACATCAAAAGTAAATGGATTTATTGAGAGCAGTTTTCCCAATCACTTCACCAAATATTGCAGCGTTTGAAACACAGTACTTGTAATCAAAGTACTCAAAACACAGACATGGTGGATTGTTGTTCCCTCGTTTATATAAAGTGTTATAAATACTATCAGCATCTCAGTGGTAAGCTTGATTATTGATTATAATTAAATGGATTTTTGTCTTTTTAACACTCTATAACTATACCATTTACACACACAATATAATTTAGTAGGGAGTTTAGACATTTGTTCATATGCATGCTTATGGTGGAAAACTTGTTTCAGATTACTGCTTAATGAAAGCCAGGAGAGCCACTTCTGCCAGATTAGCACTCAATGCCTCTCTACAATGGGCACTGAGTGATCTGAAAGAGCGAACGGGAAAGCCTTTTTTTCCTCAACTGCAAGTCCTAATGGAAGCAATCAAGAAAGTATGGGGAGGTCATTTCTCTTATCTATTTGTTTGTTTCCTCATTCATTCTCTCTGTCCTTTATTAAAAGGGTATAGGTAGTCCTCGATTTACAACAGTTTGCTTAGTGACCGTTTGAAATTATAACGGCATTGGGAAAAAAATGACTTCTGACCATTTTTCACACTTATGACCACTGCAGCATCCCCACGGTCACGTGATTTACATTCAGATGCTCGGCCACTGGTTTACAGTTATGACAGTTAGGGTTGCCAGGTGTCCACTATTTGAGTGGACAGTCCACTTTTTTCACATTATGTTCACTATTTTTTTTCACAAAATAGTGGACATTTTTTTTTAATTCAAAAGCTTTATGATGAAATGGTACGTAATCTAAAGCTGTACAGTCTACTTTTTTTACTACTTAACCACCCCCACCCCCACCCCGCTTGTCCGCTATTTTTGGGAAGCAGACCTGGCAACCCTAATGACGGTTGCAGTGCCCTGGGGTCACGTGATTCCCCCTTTTGCAACCTTCTGACAAGCGAAGTCAACAGGGAATCCAGATTCGCTTAACCACCATTTTGCTAATTTAACAACTGCAACGATTCGCTTAACAAACGTGGCAAGGCAAGTCGTAAAACGGGGCAAAACTCGCTTGACCCATTTCTCACTTAGCCACATAAACCGTTGGGTTCAACCGTGGTGGGTCAGTCGAAGACTACCTGTTGTAGCCCCAACTTGAGCAGCCACAATTCAAAACTTTCGCTTCAAAACACAGGCAGGCGCACACAAACAGATAAACCAGACAGCACACCCTGGCTGGCAGACACACACACACACACACACACCTTGGCGCCGCAACCTCCTCTTCTTGAGCCCAAAGATGCGGACCTTGGAGAAGATATCCACCAGGTTGCCATTGCAAAGCCCGCGGTTCTTGCTGGGGCTGCTGCGCCTCCTGTTGGCCGAGGGCCGGTCCCAGTGCTGCAAGTCGCGCGCTTGGCGCTTCTGGCGGATCAAACCGCTGGCGATGGCCGCGGCCATGGCCTCTCCGTCCCGCGCTTCCCTCGCGCGCCCGGCTCAAGCTCCGCGGAAAGGGCGCCGGGCTCGGGCTCCTCAGCCTAGGCGCGAAGCCATCGCCCTACGGCCAAGGGCAAAGGACGGGAAAAGTCACGAGGTCACCCACACCCGAAGCCCTCCTCAGGGCTCCGGACCGAACCAAGAGCGCAGCAACAAGCAGCAGCCACGGCGGCTTGTGGCGGCTGGTCTAGATTGCGATACTGCCTCCGCGGCTCGGCTCGGCTCATGCCTGGTTCTCCATGGCGGCGGCGGCAATTGCCGCTTCCCTCGCTCGGGTCACCGCCGCGTCTTCCTCCTCCTCCTCCTCGTCAGAGCTGCCGCCGAGTGCTTCGGAAAGCAGCATCTGGAAAGTGCCCGCTTTGGCTCCTGAGAGAAAAAGACTTCATCAAAGCACTTCGGTCCCACCCTTGCCGACACCCCGCCACACACACACACACACATACACACACACACAAACACACACACTCCCTCCCTCCCTCCCTCTCCCTTCCTTCCCAAGGCAACCGAGGGAGGGGATTTGTCCTTGGGGCGTGGGTGGGGAGTTAAAAGCGGGGCGATTCCCCCCCCCACCCAACACAAAACAGCCACCACGAGCGGTTTGGGAAACGAGGAGGCGAGAACAAGCCACCGAGGTGATAGTGGTGGTGGTGGGGGGGCTGAAAAGGCTCGGCCGACGGCAACTGCCCGTCGCCAAGAGAGCTACAGGCGGCCTCCCCTTTTGTGACCGCCGCTCAGCGCGCGTGCGAGAACCGCGGAGCGCGTGGGGGTGGGAGGGGGAGACAAAAAAGGTGCCCGGCCGGGGGAAAAGGAGGGAGAGCGCGCCAAAAACGTGGGTTGTGGGAGAGCGAGGTCGGGTGGCCGCCGCTGTGGTGAGGCGGGGTGGGGGGAGAGAGGAAGGGGGGGGGAGACGAGTAAAGCACCTGCTCTTCAGGGGAAAGAAATGGGGGGGGCGCGAAAGAGAGCTCGGAGCCCTCAGGGAAGCGAAGTTGTCGTCTGCCGTCTGGGTCTTTCCTCCCTGCTCCGGAAAGTCTCCCCCCGTTGGGACTAAAGCCGAAGGCTCCGAACCGGCGGCGGCGGCGGCGGCGGCGGCGGCGTCTCGTCCCTCGAACCAACCCTCGCCCCGACCCTGCCTTCCTCGCGCATCCCGCGTCGCTCGACACGGTCGGACCCGGCTTTGACCTTCCGGGCGGGAAAGGTGACTCGTGTGGAGAGGCGCCTCGGCAGCTGCCGACAACAAAGAGCGATGCGTGGCGGTGTCTGGAGCAAATCGCCCTCCTTCCGCGCCGGCCTCCTGGTAGATCCCCGGCAGGGCGGCACCTCTCTCCCGGGAGCGCTCCACGGTAGCCGCGGGGCTACCCGGCGGGGCTTAACGGCAGTTCCAAAGGGCCGAAGAGCTGGCAGCCTTGGGCTGCCTTTGGATATCCCGGTGCCCGGTTCCTCCGTTGCTAGACTGCAGTAGAGGTCACTACATCTGGGCTGTAGGATTTGGGGGGGATGTGGTCCTCCCCTGCTCCCCAAAAACCCAGCTGCCCAATTTTTAACATCAGTTTCGCCCGATTCTTTCTGCGTCCTGTCTTCATTTTGCTTGGAGCCGCTGCTACTTTGCGCGAATGCGAATTACCTCCAAATCAAGTAGGACGAGGAGGAAAAGAAAGGAGGGGAGGGAGCCACTTTCTCTCACGCCTGCTTCTCGATTCTGTTTTCCTAGACTACACAACTGTCTTAATGTCCACAAATTGAACCTTGGCTCCTGATCTCTCAGGAGTTGTTTGGTTCTGGTTAGGGAAAAAAAAAAAGGGGGGGGGGGAACCATTCAGGCACATGGTAACCATTTGAAATGAAAACATTTAGAGTGGGAGAAAAAGAGCAAAACATGGAGGGGGGGGTTAATCTAAATTTTTTAGTACAGAAACAAAATAAGCACATTTATAGTTTTAAAAAGCAACATGTACGTGCTTACAGTGTACCAAAGGTACAATCTCTCTAAACAGACAAAATAAAGATGTACCGAGGGTAGAAATAAATCTATTGCAATAATATTCAAACGTGTACTTCTCAACTTAACCAACATCTCTGTTCAACTATACAGCTGGCAATCAAGACATTTTAGAAATCATCGTTATATCAGCTAAATTAACCATTTTGGATTTTTTAAGGCTGGAATTTTTTTTAAAAAAAGTTCAGTGATTATTTACAACAAGTGCTGAAGCAAATAATTTTAATTAGTTCACACTACAGTGAAATAGTCTGTTTGCTACAGATCATCAAGTTATCAAGACAAAAAAGACTGGTGCTAGTTTATCCATAAAAAAAGTGTGGTTGACTGTGGTCCTTCCTCTCCTCCTTTTGGCATTTTTGTGTGCAATTAAAGATACAGAAAACCTTGACAACATTTGGGCATCTCTTATTGACCTAATCCAAAGATATCCTAGTCCACCACACAGACTGCCCACTATCAATATGTCATAAGCGTTAGAATTATATAGTCTTTGAGAAACAGTGCACAAAATTATTTCGTTGCTATGCAAAGATAACATTAATTAAATCAGCTGCTGGTAGATGTGGCTGCACTGAACAAGGCAGATTTGAAGTCATGTGTTAATTGTAAAGATGGTCACCTAGAAGAATCACTCATGAACTTTTTTTCCCATGTGAACATCCAGATTGCTAATACTGAACCAAAAGGAGATAGGAGGCATTTGTCTTGTAAATTTACACCCAGTTGACATGGCTCTAAGTGTCATACATGAAAATGAATTTCAAAGCATCCAGAAATCTATAGCTTCATATGCTTATCGTCCAAATCATTTGATTGGAATGCAAGATGCACTTTGATTTTATACATAGTTTTTCTTCAAACATACTTGTATGAAATGCTTATAGATTGTATCTGTACAGCACAATGCACTGCCAAGGCCAAAATTTTCCAAATATGAATTGCAGGCATTGTCATTTCAGCTAAATGTTTTTTGGACTTTAATAATAATAAGTACTCTTCCCAAAAATTTAATGCACAAAATAGAGCACTAGCAATTTGCTACCCTATGAAATGGCAGCAATATAAACTCTAGAAATAAATAACTGTTTTTATTTTAATTTTTGTTCCCCGGGATTGCTTGCTTTCTCTAAGGTCAACATGGAAAAAATAGTATTATCCCTCTAAATTTTAAAATGGAACTAAATTCGATACAACTACTTATATTGGGAGTTTATTTTAGAGCAGGGATGTCAAACTGCCGGCCTGCGGTCCAGATGTGTCATGCCAAAACCACGCCCACCCCATTGCCGGCAATGAAAAAAAAGTCACGATACGTCGCGATACGTCACATGATGTTGCGAGTTTGACACCCCTCTTTTAGAGATTCTTTCAGAACAAGGGATTATTTACAATAGCTTTAATAGCTACATATCTATATTAGGCTGTATTGCTATTATCCTTTTCATCTTTCTCATTTTCTCATCTTTCCTACTACCTTCTATTATTATCTTATGATTTATCATTTGTTGTTTGTATCTTATAATGTATTATTGTAACTATGATTTAGGATCTATGACTTATCACTTTGTTTTTTGTATGTACACTGAGAGCTTATGCACCAGAGACAAATTCCTTGTGTGTCCAATCATACTTGGCCAATAAAGAATATTCTGTTCTGTTCTATTAAGACAACAATTGACATTGCTGGCATTTTACAGTGCTTGTCAAACCTGTACTTTACCTGGAACTATATTAGGGAGTCAGTTTGTTGTAGTGATTAAGGCACCAGCTAGAATCTTGAAAGCCATGAGTTCTAGTCCCACCTTAGGCACAAAGCCATCTGGGTACCTTTGGGCCAATCATTTTTTCTCAGCCCTGGGAAGTAGGCAATAATAGCAAACCACTTTTGAAATCTTACCAAAAAACTGCAACAACTAAATATTCATTGAACTGCAGCATAATCTATTAATTCTTAAGGTGAATGTTTGATGCTTAAATAGAATGTTACATACTAATGGAAGCTTTGAAGGAATTTCCAGCATTCTTCTGTTCTGGAAAAACAATTCACTTTGATCAGGACCTTGACAGAGGAAACCAAATAGGAAACTAATCTTCAATTTGCAAAACATAATAAGGACTATTTAAAGAAAGGTTCTAATTCCTCAAATTAAGACAAAAACAGAAAATTAACCATACAGTCTAATAGTATCAGGAGCAGGAAGTAAATCACAGTTGCCTTCCATCTAGGATTTAAGTGCATACTGCAGACATTCACTCCTTAAAAGTCTTTGAATATTTTCATCCCTTTGTAAAAACAACCAAAAACAGAGAATTATAATAACGAAGAGATAATTATTATAGGGTGCTTTGTCTAATATTTATACATATGTATAATATTATGCCAGTAATATTCTAGATATTAAATAAATAAAAATCCATGAATTACAATGGGGAATAATTATGTCTCCTTTAGCCTTTCTGTTTCCTTTCTTTGTGTATAAGAAATCCATACCTATACACCAGTATTTGGCAGGGCAAGGTGAAGTTGAAATTGAATTGTTTTATAACAGCTTTTACACATTAAAGAAGAAGAAATTTTGAGGATATTGATGATCAATTCTTTACTTTTTGTAGAATTTTCATGCAAGACAGAGAATAAAATCAAACTTCAAGGAACTGTAATGGGTTTTTCACCAAATAATGAATTAAGTGGGTATGCAGGTTGGTATATCTGTGAATTTCACCTGCAGGAAAACTACTAATAAACCACTAATATAAAATCTAATCTCTATACTAGAGCCATATTATTTAATCAGGTGGTCTTGCAGTTACCATAAGTGATGTATATATGAATTACTAATGGTAAGCTTCCTCTCTACTTCTTCCTCATTTTATTTATTCTATATTATTCCACTTAGGAAACATTGTGACTTTAGTTACATAAAATTCAGTTTATATATATGATACTGTACAAAAAATTGATGAT